GCAAACTGCTCCCACAAGGAGTGCTTATAGTCTCTCATCCAAACATGTATTTGTCAGTCTTCACTGAGTTTTGGATTCCTTTTTATTTTTTACTTTACAGAATTTAAAACTTTGAAATGGGCAACAGGCAGTGCTCTGTTAATGACTTTTGGCTCTTCCTAATCAAATCTGTTGTCCTCAAAAGATGAAGTACTTGGGTATATTTTAAACCACTAAAGATATTCTAGAGCAGCCGTGGGCAAACTACGGCCCGCAGGCCGGATCCGGCCCGTTTGAAATGAATAAAACTATTGAAAAAAAAGACCGTACCCTTTTATGTAATGATGTTTACTTTGAATTTATATTAGTTCACACAAACACTCCATCTATGCTTTTGTTCCGGCCCTCCGGTCCAGTTTAAGAGCCCATTGTGGCCCTCGAGTCAAAAAGTTTGCTCACCCCTGTTCTACAGTAATCTCAGAATTAAGGTGATTTTATAAGAGGAGATTCATAGATACTTTGATCAATACCTGTATTAGAATACATTTTACCTCTTAAGATCAGATATTCTAATATATTTGCTTTTTAAAAAGTCAGCATTCTGGCTAGTTCTATGTTCCATTAGCCATTTTGACATACAAAATGATTCATTTTGCAAATGCTGTTGATTCTCTCGGCTGGCACACTGATCCTACAAAGCATAGGTAAATTTGATAAAAGCCTTTGCGAGTCTTTACTGTTATATATAATAAGTGTTCATATAAGCATTCAGATTGTCACTTAGAGATATCTGGAATGGAAGTCTTCATGGATAACAGATTTTAGTTATTGACAACTGGTTAGATTATATTATCATACATTCTAAACTATGGTTGCACAATCTCAAATACTTATTTTATGGGTGACTATGGAACTGCTTATTTTGGTTCACTAATAGTAATGTATTGATGGTTGGAGAGACTAGCTACATATTCAGAAGCAAACTTCTTTACTACTAGTTGGAAGAATATCCAATAGGCAAGCAAGATAATGGAAGACAGGAATAGTGTTTATGAGAAAATGTTGACTAGACATTAGAAATTCCTAAGTATAAATCAGCAGGTTGAAAAGTACAGGAAAATGGTGGAGAAAATAGTCTACATCTAAAAAACATCAACATTTAAATTTTTCATAAATCACAAATCTACATAATCCTTTTCTAAGGGCATGCATGATTGACTAAGATTAATGAAGTTCACACTTAAATAGTTCACATTAGTCCGTTAACATCCACAACTGAAGTCCTTTTTTTTCTATTGAAAATATCAGTCAATAAATTGTCGCATTAGGTTGCCCATTCTGTACTCTAATTAAAGCTTTAACTGTCATCTGTAGGCTTCAGCTACATAGCGATGAAGCATGTCAAATGTTGAGAAAGCCTATTATTTTATTTCCTCCTCCTACTTGACTTAGCATAGGAGGGCAACTCAAACAAGAGAAAAGCTTGCTCTTCAATGCATACTTGTTTAAAGATTGAGATTTGGACTTGTTAGTAATGAAGACTCATGGCAAATATTAAAAACTCCTGTGGAAAATGAGGTGCTCTCGTTTATGCAGTGGGTGTATAAGCAAACGTCTGGCACAAAGGTTGACTCCGATCTGGTGCACCATGGATGATGAGCAGCACAAAAGGGAGCGGCTGCGTAAGTGTTCGCACAAGTAGTCTGTTTCCAGATCACCTCCACTGCTCTTCACTTATTACTTTTTCTATTTTATTTTTTGGCTAGAGGGTATGTTGTCAAGCTGGTACCTCCTTCTCTCCAATGCCTTCTTTCTGGCAGTTTACAGGAGAGTACTTCGGAGAAAAACTGCCAACACCTCCTTTGCCCTTCTCACAGATTAAAAAGATTATATTTCCTTAACATATACAGTCTCTGTTGTTCCATGGAACCAGAAAAAAGGCTCTCTGGATGATGACCTTGACTGTTATATTGCCTCCTAAAAATTTATTCAGATGAGGGGATGTCATGAATGGCACAAATTTCTTGCTCTTGGGTTGCAACTTTGAGTTCAGTTATTGGCTCTACCACTTACTATCTGTCTGACTTTTAGAAGTCATTGAACTTTCTCTTTAACTCAGTTTTCTTCTCTGTTAGTTGAAGATAATACTTAACTTTATATAGTTAAAGTAAATATAGGAAGATCCCTACTTTCTATATTCAATGAATACTAATCAAAATCCCATTGAGATTTTCCTTTTTCATAGGAGGGTGGGGAACACTTTTCAAATTCTCTAGGAAAGTAAACATGTAAGTATAACCAAGAAAAAATTTTAAGTGAATGGGGGAGACTTGCCTTACCCAGTCAAAATAACTGTAAATGTAGTACCGCACGAAGACACATAAGTCAAAAAAAGATAAAAACTTAAGTTTGCATGTAGCCTATAATAAAGATATTTTAAATTACTAGTATCTGGGTATATTGTTTAGTAAATGGGGTGAGATACCTAGTGTTCATTTGGGGGAAAGTAGCTGTAAGTGTAATCTTTTATTTTATGCCTTAGTGATTTTCTCCTTTATGAGCTTGGAGCACCAAATCTCAATAGCCCCTTTCATCTGCAATAATACATTATTACAGTTAAAGATTTCAGAATTATTTACTGAGGTGATAGTTGGAGGCAAGAGAGTGGACAAGATCATTAAAGAAGAGTAACAACAGGTCTGTGGTTGAAATATTGGATCATTCCTACATTTAGCAAGTAGGTGGAGGAAAAGGGACCAGAGGTAGAAAGCTATTAATAGGACAATGTCAGTGATAAACTTACTAATTTCTTTAAAAGTATGGAATCCAAGGGAGAAAAGGTTTTACTTAATTTTTATTTTAAAAAATTTAAGTATAGTTGACATGCAATATTTAGTTTCAGGCATACAACACAATGATTTCACATGGGATTTTTCTTTCAAATATTTTATTTCTGGTTGTCTTTTCTTTTCCGCTTAAAGAAGATCAACATTTCTTATAAAGCAGATTTGGTGGTCTTATAATTTCATTTACTTTTTTTCCTGTCTGGGACACTCTTCACCTCTCCTTCAGTTCTGAATGATCTTTCCAGGAGTATTCTAGGTTGTAGAATCCTTCCTTTCAGCACATTAAAAAATGTCCTGCCACTCCCTTCTGGGCTGTAGCTTTGTTGCTGATAAACTTTTGGGGTTTTCTTTTATATGACTAGTTGTTTTCCTCCTTCAAGTCTCCATCTTGAAGTTTTGCCATTTTAATTACAATATCTTGTTTGAAACTCTGTGCTTCCTGGACTTATTTTTTAAAATACATTTTCTGTTCCTTCTCTCCGTTTCCCTCCTGGGATTCCCATGTGAATGTTAATGCGCTTGATGTCCCAGGAGTCCCTTAACGATTCTTTAAAGAACTTTTCTTTCTTTTTGCTATTCTACTTGGGTGATTTCCACTCATCAGTCTTCCACATCATTAATCTGTTCTTCTGTATTATCTAATATGCTGTGGGTTTCTCCTAGTGTATTATTTTCATTTCAGTTATTGTGTTGTTGTTTTTTGTTTGTTTTTTTTTAGCTCTGATTGACTCTTTGTTATACTTGCTTTTTGTTGAAGTTCTTCCGGAGTTCCTCTCTTCTACTCTGTTTGGTGAACATCCTTATGACTGTTTGAATTCTTTATCAGGCAAATTTCTCATTTCCACTTCATTAGGGTATTTTGTTTTTACTTTGGGGGGTGAGGTGGGCTGGTTTTTATTCCTTCATTTGGGACATATTCTTTGTCTTCTCATTGCACTTGTATTTCTGTGTTTATATAAATTAGATGAAACTGCTCTCTCCAAATCTCAAAAAAATGGTCTTATATAGAAGCAATCTGTGTGTTGATTGGGTGTGCCAGGTAGTTTGAGGAGGCACATTAGAGCTTGGGGTAGGTGCCTGGGCTACTGGCTGGCGTGGGCTCTGAGAGAGGCAGCCCAGTGTGCATGAGCAACAGTGGGCTCTGGGAGTGGTGACCCAGTGCACATGCGTGAGTGTGTTGGGAACCTGTTAATCCCGCTGTTTGAGGGTGAGCTGCATCACCTGTGCTACTGCCGTCTTGGACCTTTTCCAGGGAAGGTTTTAAATGAGGTTAGAGCAGTGGTTCTCAACCTTGGCTGCACATTAGAATCACCTGGGAATCTTTTTAAAATCCTGATTTCCGGGCCTCATCCTCTGGAAATTCTGTTTCTTTGTTACTAATGTTGTGGCGCCACCCCATAACAAAGAAACAGAATTTCCGGAGGATGAGGCCCGGAAATCAGGATTTTAAAAAGATTCCCAGGTGATTCTAATGTGCAGCCAAGGTTGAGAACCACTGGGTTAGAGGGTGTTCAAATAGAGATAGATTAAGGTGTTTGGGGCTGGAAAGAACTTAATGGATTTGACAAATGAGATATAACCAACTTTCCTAATGAATATTTCTAGTACTAGTAAGATTGTCAGATTTGGTGAAATGTCAGCAGGAACAGACTAACAAAGAGACTCTTTTCCATATATGAAGAGATAGAACTCTAGGTTAAAAAGGAAATGACGAGAAAATTTCCAGAATCAATGGAACTGATTACGAATTTGCTACTAAGCTGTCCTGTATGTTCTGACATCCAGACAGAGCTGGATGTCACCAGTTTTGAGAATAATGCTGGAAGGTCAATGTTGTTTTCCCCAGTTTACAACTGAGCATTTGTAACCCAACATATGACAACACCTACTAACTAGTTTGAACATGTTATTTAAGCAGCCTAAGAATAATGCTAACTATCTCATCACTCTTCTGAAGATTAAATTATTGTAAATATATACCTATGTGTACACACAAGTATATAAACACTAGGCAGGGACTTAGTACATATATTTGGTATTATAATGTAAGAAAAATAGCAATGGCTAAGGTATGGTCATGATGGCATAACTGAACTGCGGACTTCCTTTTATGTGTACACAGCTTTATTCTGAGCAGTCATGTCTGACATGCAGGCTTCTTCTCTTCCTTTATAGGTACTGGATGTAAGTAGAGAAGGCAAGGAAGAAGTATTCTATGGGCCTACACTCCCTTTTGCTTCCAATGGAATAGCAGCATGCTTCCTTCCAGCTCCATATTTCACATGCCCTAATCTTCAAACTCTTCAAGTGCCTCATCACAGGATTGGCACCATCTGAAAAGCCAATGCTCTGTGGATAACCATCACAAACAGGAGGAAAAAAAAGCCTGACTTTTGGATACTGGGCATGAAAAGACTGAGTGCTCAAATGCTTCCTTGTCTTGTTTTATAGGTCTTATATTCAGATAAACATTAGGAAAAAAAGAACAATTTTCTAAAATACATAACTGAAAATTCCCGTCAGCCTTTACAGTGTATGTAATGTACAATACAATAGCATATGTATGACTTCTTTGTGGTGTAGCTTAGTGCCAACTTAATGGTCCATTACTGTTCTATGGGTTATTAGAGCATTTTTTTCTAACCAGTGCTGTCTAGGACAACATGACAGCACTAGTAAGTCAATTTATTTCCAAGTACTGTCATCATTGATTTCTAAAAAACTTCAACACTCAATCCCTTTGCTACTTAAGCCTGGGTTTGTAATTTTTCTTTAAAAATTTAACATTAGACAGCCCTATTCAATAGAGACCCAGCATTATGACATCATGAATTTTTAAATGCCATAATGCATTTAAGTTAATATGACTAATAGAAGTACACTGGAATATTCCAGTGTACTTCTATTAGTCATATTAACTTAAATTATCACAGAGTAATAATAATTACTCTGTGAGCTTGGGCTTAACTTTAGAGAGCTTCAGTTTTCCAACTGTTTAAAAGGATAATTAGTGATTTCCATATCAATTTAGAAGAACGGTGTGAGGATTAGGCAAATGCACTGAAGTACTTCACCTAAGAAAAAAATGTTACTCAAATTCCAAGGTATTTTACTGTCTTAAGAATCTTGTACCAAACAGGGAGATTATTTTTGAATTTATAAATTACTAGGTAGAACTTCAAACACATGCTATAGAATAAATGATTCTAAAAGCAGGTGAAAGAGATAATGCTAATTAGAAAAAAGGGACTTCACAAGCCCAAAGAATCCTAAACTTGCACAAATCCTTGCCTCAAATAACTCTCTCAAATATCTCATTTAAATTCATTTACTGAAAAGTGACATTTTATACTCAAAAAATTTAGCTGTACTAATTTTGGTACCATAAAGTGCTTTGACATAAATTTGAACCTAGAATCAGTAATTCTAACAAAAGTTTTTCCACTTTGTTAAAGGTTATGTCAATCTTGAGTGCTTGTGGGATTCTTTCCCATCACCAATACACATATTATTACCACTTTTAATAATGCATAAGGATTTTTTTAGGCTAGGTTTTTGGATCTGCTTTGTCCATAACCAAAAAGAAAACAACTCAATAATCAATTTTAACAAAGTCAACAAACAAACAAAAATGTGTGTCTTCCCCTTTTCCTAATCTAAGTCACCTTTATTAAAAAGACTTCACTGACTTTTTCCCTAGACATAGTTTAATCATTCAGCAGTCCTTGGTTTACAGGAAATTCTAATTATATTCATGTAAACACTTTAAAGATTTTTATTCTAAATACAGAATTCACTAATCTTATACATTATAAGATACCTAAAATATATATCTTCTGGCTATCCAGATTTAAGAGTGGGATGGGGAGAGAAATTAGGAGTAAGAAGACAAAGTAAATTTTAAAGAACAGAGATTTAGTTTAGACAAACAAAAAAACCCTGAGAGTATTTTTACAGTTCTGAAAGTGATATAGATAAATTTATATTTAGAAGGATGACAATCTCTTTAAAAGGTGTAAACCATCTAAACTAAATTTTTAAAATGCCTTACCAGGTCAGGAAAATGTACAGCATTTCAGAATGTTTTCAACAAGGACCTATGCAAGAAATATTTGATTCATTAATTCTTCTACTTGACATATAGATTTTTCCCTGTAGCAGTTTTACCTTATAAAACCATTAGTCTATTTGTAACCCCAGACCCTATATCCAACAAGTAAAAGGGAAATGGTCTAAAAATAAGTTTGTTTAATGGTAACTGAAGGCAGCCTAAGAGTACTCTTGATTTTCTTCTGTGTGGATTTCTAACTATTCATTTTAAACAAATCAGTATCTATTGTCAAACTCTTCCATGGTGAACATAGTATTCAAAGAATTGAACTCAGAATTTATAAAAGCTTTACATAATTTTCAGAAACTTTATAAAGCCTTTATAAGTACAGCCCAACAACAGAAAACTACTACATCTCTCCCCTAAGAAAAGAAAAAGAACACAAAGATCACTTATAATTAGATCCTTTCCCTAAAATCATCAATAGTAAGAGCTAATAAGAAAAAAAAAACTATGTTTGGTCATTGAAACTAGTCATATATTTTTCCACTTAAGTGTACTATTCTATAGCAATTCATCTTCTAGTTTCACTTTTCAAAATTAAAGATCATATTGTTTTTATATTCAAATTATCAATGTGAATTTCCATAGATCACGAAACTTCCAACCATTTAAGCATCATTTCAGTATTTTACTTTTAAAAAGAAGCAGTACTACATAGATACTGACAGTGTTCTTAGTGTGGGAGGAAAAGCCAGCAAAGATATGAATCTCTAAAATGTAAAATGCAATAAAATTCTTTGGGTTCTTAACATAATGCCAGTTAGGTTATGATTAGGGTACCTTTTACACTTCTTCTCTTCATGTTTTCCTTGTTTAACTAGATGTATATTGTATTCCCTTCAGACACTGCAATAGCTGGAAAACTAGTGTTTTACAGAAGAGTATGAAAGCAATAGTATAAAATAGAAATTATTTTGGTTTTCAAGTAGTCAATCTGTCATAAAAAGGGAAGTTGAATAATCATAGGTACAGACTAAGTTAAATACATTTTTATTACATATCCTTAATATATGCACAAAATAACTTATAAACATGTTTATAATATAAGAATGCCCAGAATTCTTCTAAAAGTACAATTTGCAAATGCAATAATCAAATAACTATTAGCACACCAAAACTTTAATAAGCAGAAAATGGTCAATTTCAATCATATGGTACTGATTTTGGTAACCTTACCAATATATATCACAGAATCAAAATACAACTCTCATATGTTGTTAAATATGTAAAAGACTGTGCTACGTAGCTTCCCAAATCAACCACTTAACAAAGCATGTTATTTACATGGATAAACTATACACTAGACTGACAAGGCAATATTTTTAACCCTAGGAGGAGTAGACATCAGTTTTTGGAAAAATGTAAGGTTTATATAAAAAGTCTATCATTCAAAGAGCAGTGGTTTAGTACTGATAATACAGCATTTAGTGAAGGTCCTATGATACCTATCTTTATCTTCAAAACACAAGTGCTGTGTAACATTTAGTATTTAGGGAAGGTAGGTTTCATACAGGCTTCTCCCAACTGCAGAGGCTTATCAAATTTCTGTGTAACATATAATCTTAACAAAGGGAACACAAAATTAAAAACTGTCAAAGTCCATAACAGTACATGAAGACAGATCCATTAATTCTTTAAGAACAAAGTAGCTTTAAAGTTTTGTGATAAAGCCTGAGAGAGATAACAATGACAGAACATATACATAGTCTAATAACCCACAACTAATTATTTTTTTTACATAGATGCCCAGGTAGAAATAGTTACACTTAAGAAGATAAGAAAATATGCTAGGAATAGGTAAGGATATAAAAGTCTTCAACTATGAAATTCTAATGCAAATGAACTCAATATCAAATGTTTTTTTGTATAGAGTCAATACTCCATTTTTTTTCCTCCCCCATGGAAACATTAAATGTTCAATTAAAAACATTCAATCATTACCAAATCTGAGTGTCTAATAAAATCACTTCATCACACTGTTGTGCCTCAATCATCTTCTTTACACTCCATCTGACAGTGCACAGAAATTACTTGACTGGCATACTCTCAGAGTATAGAATGAACATGACACTTAGACAGTCTAAGACAGTCTAGTCTTCTGCCAGCGTTAAGTTTGGACAGAAAAGGTAGAGTCAGATGGCAGAAAGTCTGATTGAAGGATTTCACTGTCAGCTTACTAACAATGGGAAGTAAGTTGAAGGCCCTGAGCAGAAAAGTAACAAGAGGAAAGTAGTACTTTAGGAACACTAATGTCAGAACTGTGAAAAGGATTAACTGCAGAAAAAGAGACCAGAGATAAGAGATTATAGAGCTCAATAGAAAAAATAGCCGAGATACATGGAGTGGAAAAAAATAGCAAGAGCCTGTGCTGCTGATCAACTGAAAGTGGGAGCAATGAAGAATCCAAGCTGCCTCTGAAGTTTCACAGCTAGGAACTTGGGAAAACAGTGTATTACCTGGGTAGAAAATAAAGATAGGTAGACTGGAATATAAAGTGACAAGGGCAGCCTGATACGTTGCCTAGAGATTCCAGGAGGATCAAATTAGAGTGGTTTAGAGAGAAATTAGCCCAAGAAATAGATTTGAGAGAGAAAATTATGAGCTAGTGTTACCAATAGACTACAAGAAGAATGTTGAGGCAGAACAGGTGAAGAACCAGATCTTACCACTGGGACATGAAAAAAGAATGTGAAGGTGCTCTCCAAGTTCAGTACATGTAGGAAGGAGCAGTTTCCCTGAGGAAGGGATGAGAAGATAAATGAAAATGAAAATGCCACAGAGGTCAAAGAATATGAGAAATGAGGACGTACTTTCCTCATTTCACCAGAAGAGAGTGACTTACAAAATAAAAGGTAGAGCAGCAGCCTCAGAGATAATGGTACTTAGGGAAAAATAGATATTAAGGAAGCAGTTATAAGGTACTCTAAGTCTGGGAATGGAAAAAGATAAGGTTATAGTAATGAGTGAAGGGCAACTGAAGATTTTTAGGAATAGGAACTGAGTCAAATTTTTTCTTCAATTAAAGAAAAACAGCTTCTTTAAAATTTTCCATATAAATAAAAACCTTACATATACCTGTATTGCTACACTTTTGTTGCAATTGATTTTTTAAGTATAAACTTTAGTTATTCTTAGTATCTACAGTTATTCACCAAAATGCATGATTCAGCAGCAGCTTTTCTGATCCTTTAAGTTTCATACTCTAAGGAGCAAGATTCTCAGATATAGTTATCAGTCTCCCTTAGAAAATAAAAATATATAACCTATACAAAAAATTCCTTTAAAAGCATCACTTTAAATAGATAAAATAGTTTAACAAGTCATTCTCATAATGATCATAATGAAAAGAAATTCATTGCTATGAAATCTGTTAAGTGACCGCAAAGAGACTTTCATTCATTTCATTGAAGTAATGACAGCTGATTTGGGGGGAAAACAGACCATTTGTATATTATGAAAACAGATACTTCTTTAGACTTCAGATAACAATCAGGAGAGTGCTATAAACTATATTTTGCTGATTGCAATACATTTCAATTTTAAAATACTTTTTGAACAAGAAAAGGATTGAAATGTTTTCTTGAAGGAATAGAACCACGATGAAGACCAGAGTCCCAGAAGAAAGGAATTAAGAAAACATTGCAAAAATAGTAGGATCATTCAGAGGAACAAAGTTGAGAGGTTTTTTTTAACC